GGGCATCACACCATATTTGAGTTTTTGGGATGCCACATCAGGCTTGGGTTCCTCAGGTTTCTCAGGCATTACAATATGCTCTGTTTTTTGAGATGCTACAATAGATTCTGATTTTTGGTATGTCAAAACAGTCTCAGGCTCCTCAGATGTCAGAACATGCTCTAGTTTTTGAACTGCCTTTACAGGCTTTAGTTTTCGGGCCACTTCAGGTTCTTGCAGTTCCACCTCTTGATGCTTTGGTTTTGTGCGTCCTGCAATGGACTTTGGCTCTCGAGAAACTGGAACAGGTACTTTCTTTTCTGGCAAAGTTGTCTTGGTTGCTTTACGTACATAAAAGATATTAGTTCTAAATTTAACAACTGCACTGACAATCATACCAAAATTAAGCCAACCATAAAACATTAAAGACAATTGTAATAAGAATATTAAATGCATATCAGGTATCAATCATTTATGCTGGCCTTTTAAGTGATGAATATAAGACTTTGGCTTTTCTCTCTTTTCTTTCAATGGTACATACACACACTCCACCTCACAAAACTCATGCTCCCATATGGAAGTACACACATGCACTAATAATATAACTTAAGATATAAGTAAAAGCCATGATAATTGTCAACAGAATGGACAGGACAAAAGATATTAATTGTACTTCAGGCATTAAAGTGAAGATTCTTTCAAGAAACAGAGGTGATGGCGTCTAGTTTTTCTTGGTGGAGCTTTGTTTTTTTCAATTAAATTGATAACTTCTGCTCTTAGCTACTAGAATGGGTACTTCATTTTCTTCTCCTATTCTAACTTTTATTAGCTGTGGTGGCTTTCATGAACCCAAGCAGGTAGAACAGCAAGAATATGCAAAGATAGTAGGAAGAACTGAAGTAGAATGATGGTAAGAGTAACATACAAGCAATTCAGACATCCAAGATTTGGCAGTATTTTTTCAATAACAACCATATCTGTCTGTTTCACACATATATGCAGATAAATAGAACAAGCATAATCTAGAACTTCAGGAAACAGAAGGATAATTACAGTGTTAAAGAAAAGATGAAAAACAATACTTTTGTTATTTTATTAATGTTGAGATTTACCTTCCTTTGGTGGGAGTTCTGGTTCTTCAGGTGCAGCCTCTGGTTCTGGGACAACCACAGGTTCTGGTATTTTTTGCACAGGTATTTTCTTTTCTGGAACAACTTTCTTCGGCACCTCAGGTTCTTTAAAGATATTTGTTTGTTTTAATTTCAGGAATTTGAAGAATAGGAATTAAAAAGACAATAATAACTCCAAAGTAAAGAAAAAAAATACATAACAGCATCAGAATAAAGCCCACCCTTATAAACAATTTGGTTGTTTTGTTGTTTTGGTTTTTTTTTCCATATTGCTTTACACACACTATTAGTAGCCACTGTTACTGAGAGCTATTCAAAAAGGAAGAAGACCACAAAGTCTTTAACACTTATATTACATAAATAAACTATACAAAAAAAGCTGCTAACACAAACGTAGGAAAGATAATACTTAGAGAAACATAAAATTTGCCTAAAATTTGTATGCAGTCTTATTACTATTGAATATATACCTTTGGGTGGTGGAGGTTCTGGTTTTTTAGGAACTTCAATGTGTATTTTTTCTTCTGAAACCACTTTCTTGGGCACCTCAGGAACTTTAAAAAAAAAGCAGTTAATTTTATATATGTATATCTGCAGTGTTCAGACATTAAGAAAAAGTAAATCTCAGGGGCATCAGAAGCAGGAGTGGTTTTGGATGCAAATACATAATTTCTCCATTCCCTAGAGAAAATTTTGTTGTCTCACTCAGTTACAGATGCAAAAACCACAACTGAAACAACAAAAATATTTTATAAGACATTAATAGTAGAAGTAAATTACCATGATGTTAAAATGGTACTGTAGACAGTTAAGGGGTTTACTTTCCTTGCATACAATTACTCTTAGTCTCTGGACATTCTGGTTTCTTTGATACTTTAACTGAAACCTGTTATGGGACCAGTTCCTTTTGTACCTTAGAAACTTGACAAATATCAATAACTTTGTGGTATCAGAATTTCATAAACAACACTAAAGCATAACAGCAGATCACTCTTAGTGAAAACACCAACTACAAAGATCTATTTTTTCACTCAAAACATTTTCTCACTTGAAAAGCCTTTGACAACAAAAGAAAATGCAAACAGAGGTCTTGAATACTGTCTTCTATATTGTTAAAATAAGAAAAGAATATTTTTCTTTTGGGTCTGTACTTTAGTCATATTGTCAAGAATCTTTAGCTGGTATAACTTGTGACTTTAGCTGGTATAACTTGTGAGGTTTTAAGCACAGCAAATTTGATTTTTTTTTTGT